CTTGAACATTTTAAAATGGACTTTCTAATCAAAATCAGCATTTTTTTAAATTTAAATTCAATTAGCCAACACAGACAAAACATAAATGGCTTATAACTAAGTGAAAACATGATCAACCTGCTTGGTAATCTGGAACTTGTAAATCAAACCAAAGTGAGAATTCTCACCTATAGGCAAGTAGGTGTTTATTCTGAAACTCTTTTGAAAACTATTTAGCATTGACTAGTAAGGTTAAGTATGGGTATGTGTCTCTTATGACCCAGTGATTTCCTTTCTAGATATAGATCTTAGGTAAGTTCTTGCCTGTGAGCACAAAGAAATGTGGGTACACAAGTGTTCCTGGCAGCAAAGAAGAAAAACAACTCAAATATCCATAATAGTCAGCTGGATTAATCAAGAAATGCATTTGTAAAACGGAGTAGTAAAACTATACAATGAATAACACAATGGTACACATGAAGATAGATAATTGCAAAAATGTGATTTTGAGTGAAGGAAAGAAGTCACAAAGGATTACACGTAGTGTGACTCAGTTTATATAAAGTTCAAATCCAGGAGATGCTAAACAATATATTTTTAGGAATACACGCCTATGTGACAAAACCATAAAGGAAAGTAAAGAAATGCTTACAAAATTCAGGACAGTAGATATCTCTAGAAGGGAGATTTGGAGATGTGAGTGGAGGAGCCTATATGGACATTGAAGAAACTGGAAATGTTTTATTTCTGAAGCCAGGGAGTAGGTGCATGAAAGTTGGTATTATTTTTATTATTATTTGATATGTACTTTTATACCTGATACACCTGCAAAAATATGTATTTCCCTATAAAGTTTTTTTTTCAAAGCATGGAATTGCTATGATGGTAAAGTTGTATATATTTCTGCTCATTGAGAAAGTAGGATTCAACAATATAAAAAATAAGATTTTTACAAATTCTATTTCAATGAATCCAGACATAATTAGAGCATAATGATGCAGATTCACAGATTTGAACAGACTCTATCTTTTTTCTTTCAGTTTTTTTTTTTATTATTATGTTATGTTAACCACCTGAACAGACTCTATCTTATAATAGCTGGGGGTGGTGAGTGACAAGAAGGAGTGATATATCCGGATTATGGATTGGGTGGATGGTGTCCATCCCTTTGGCCATCAAATCATGCACAGAAGGAATATGAGCTTTAGTGGTGAAGTTAATATATGGTCAGTTTTTGCTGTATTTGAGGCGCTTATGAGAAAACCACCTATCTATGCCTTGGATGCAGTTTAATACCTTATTTTAGAGCAAGGTGGAATGATATGGCATAGAAATATTAATTTGGATAATAGAAACCTAAAGTAAATGCCATGAGTATGCAAATTTGCCTACAGAGAACGAAGCAGGGTGTCAGGGGAAGTGAGGAAGAATGAGGAAATGCTCTGTGAGACTGTTTTTTTCATGTGAATTCTATAGAATTTGAAGGTGGCTAAAATTATTCTGAGACTTTCATAGTTTGAGGTAATTTATTTTTTTGTCAGTAACCTCACGAGTTTCTTCCCACCTCTCTGTACCAGTCTTCCCAGTGTCTATTAACTCTTCTTAAACTCATCTTGGCTGATGGTTTTGAAGTTTAGATATAACATGATTAGGAAATCATTTTTTAAATTTTACATTATTCTTTCAAAATGATCCCCTAAAATTGATAGCTCCCAGACCGTAGTATAATTTTTCTAGAGAAGCTATAAAGTTCATGTTCTTATAAATTTTTAAATCCTTCAGAAAGAATGAAAAGAAGGAAGGATTACCAAGAAAAAATTCATATCAGAGATTTGTCTGACTTGTGTGATGCCTGCATGTTTTGTTTTAATTTAAATTCAATTAGCCAACATAAAGTAGTACGTCATTAGTTTCAGATGTGGAGTTCAGTTATTCATCAGTTGCATATAACACCCAGTGCTCGTCACATCGCGTGCCCTCCTTAATGTCCATCACCCAGTGACCCCATCCTCCCATCCACCTGCCCTCCAGCAACCCTCAGTTTGTTTCTTAGAGTTAAGAGTCTCTCATAATTTGTCTCCCTCTCTGATTTCCTCCCATTCAGTTTTCCCTCCCTTGCCCTATGATCCTCTGCTCTATTCCTTATATTCCACATATATTGTGGATAATTGTCTTTCTCTGATTGACTTATTTCACTCAGCATAATACCCTCCGGTTCCATCCACGTCGATGTATAAGATTTCATCCTTTTTGATACCCACGTAATATTCCATTGTACATATACCTCATCTTCTTTATCCATTCATCTGTCGATGGATATCTGGGCTCTTTCCAATAGTTTGGCTATTGTGGGCAGTGCTACTATCAACACTGGGGTGCAGGTGCCCCTTCGGATCACTGCATTTGTATATTTGAGGTAAATCTCTCATAGTGCGATTGCTGGGTTGTAGGGTAGCTCTATTTTTAACTTCTTGAGGAACCTCAATACTGTATGTTGTCTTTTAAGTAACAGAATCATGGTTCTGTTATGAAAATACCCTACCAACATTCAAATGAGAGTGTGTCTGTGTAAACGGAGGAACTATAACTGAGTATTTTTTTGGTTCAATTAATACCTGTTGTAAGGCTATTTGATATTAACTAGAAAATTGAAGGGCCCAAGAAAAATGAATATCCTTTGAAATGCTTCCTGAAAAAATAGGTTTTTTTCTTAATTTACGGAAGTTTTAAACGTATGTTTTTTTTTTTTTTTGGAAATTAGTTTTCAAGACAGTTGACCTTTGTCTATAGAACTTACTCTTCTGTAAGTATTGAATAATTGAAAGGTTATGCTTTTAATAGAAGTGATCTGTCATCTTATCTCTTGTTTTCATGCAGCACCATCATGGGTAAAATTACTGAAATCAGCTCTGATGCTTTTTTTTTTTTTTTTTTTACAATATGGAAGCCTGTTGAATCCAGCTGAACAAACGTAATATCTTTGTTGATCCCCAGTTATATACAAAACACTTTGCCAAACAATTTTGGAGATACACAGATGAAGAAGACAGACCAATGAAACATACATGAAACATAACATGTATACATTGTTACAACTTCCTCCAGGGTAAAGTTTAGGATTAAGCATGTTGGTAGTTTAAAAAAGGGGAGGGAGGATTTGCCAATATACACTTTTACTTTACCAGGAATTTCCACACACTCCGCCCTACAAGTCAATAAAAACATTTAGATACCAGTTGAAAACAGTGTGGGAAATATGATAAGAAATTGGAAGTAAGGATAAGCCCTGAAACACACCACCAACGTGGGGCAACTGACAAATTAAAACACAGGAAGAACAAATATCCCTTCACTCTTTGTTTAATTTAATTGATGCTCCTAATCATGAATTAGTTATAAAAAAAAAGTTAAATTATGTCTAGTATTTCTTATTTAAAAGAGTGTATCAGTGTTCAATACGTTTTGGAACCAAAGTCCTCCTTTATTTTTTCTGTTTTGGTGGGATTAAATTCTTTAGTGATCAGGAAAACTCACTATGTAGAGTCCCTTATAAGGATAATGCAGTAGAACTAGTAGGTGTTGTTTTGTGTATAAAATTCATCTGTTTCCTTTTCAAAATATGTGGAAGAGACTTTGTGAATAACAAGTAGTTACCTGTTATAAGGTTCTCATATAAAGAGCTCTGTGTATTTTTCCTTTATCATAAAATCTACCTGCAGATTTTATTCTTCCCATTTTCAGAGGAAGAAATTGAGGCACAGTTTAAGAAACTTTTTCAAGTTCCTTCAATTAGTAAGGACAGAATTTATTGATCTTGTAAGTAATTGGCCAGTTTCATAATCCTAGCTTTATTTGGTTAGTCTTCAATATGGTCATGATTAAATATTTTTGATTACAAAAAGTGAATCAACTCAAATTTGCTTAAGCAAAGTAGGGACATGATTATAAAGAAGCAAGAATATCTCTTAGAACCCAAGGACAAGTTGTGAAGTTGAAACCATGGGGCCAAGTGTCTCTGCTTCCTTTTGTGCCCCTAGGTCATTGTTTTTACTTCGCTGACCAGCTTTCTCTGTGGCTCCTTACATCTGCTGGAGAAAAACACATCTCCTGGGCGTTCGTTATCATCAACTCTCTTCACGCAGAAAGACTGAGGAGAGCTGCCTTTTAATTCTAGTTCTCCAGAAAGAAAAACCTGATTAGCCCAGCATAGGGTAGGAGATTAAACAATGTGGCCTAGTCCCCTGCAGCCAAGGACGCACGATTACCAATCGTAATCCAACTGTTGGGGTCTACCATGCCTGTAGATGGTGGTGGTCCTGTGATGGCAAGGAAGTTCTCAAAGACACGGAGTGGGCCAGACAGCAGGGTCCTTCACTTCAGATAGTAATGCATGGCGGGTAAGATCATTCTGGAGCCCACTTTCTAGATTTATTTCTTAGTTCTGCCATGCCTGGTTGAGTAACATTGTGTTACTTACTTACCCTTTTTGTGCTTACTTATTTTCTTTCTCTAATGTGGTGATAATAACAGTATTACACGTAAGCTATTTAGAACAGTTCCTGGCAACATTGTAAACATTTGATGCATCTTGGCTATTATTTTATCCTTGTGGCCAATACATTTTACTTGCCAAATAACTTAATCTAATTTTAAGTTTAGTAATATTCCATGACTCCTATGACTTTCAATGCTTCAAAAATGGTATTTACAAAATGAAATGATCTTGCTCTTATTTTTCAAATGTTAAATTATCTCCAAGCTGTTCAAAATTTTGATAACAAAAGGGGAAAAACATGAAGGTTTTACATAGGATAGTTATTTGTTGTAGTAAGGAAGATTGATTTCCTAATAAACTTGAAAAATACCCTAATTCTTCCTGGTGAGTAAAATGTTTATATAGAAAAAACTGTAATAAAGCACATTTGCATAATTATTGAAAATTGTGAACACTGTTTATTAAGTTAAATTCTACAGGTGAGATCATTTAATTTTCTGTTGATTAATTACACATTTATTTTCAGGTACATGACAGATGGAGGGCTGAACCTGTATACTAGAAGTCTGAACCGAATACCAGACACAGCCACTTCCAGAGACGTCATCCAGAGAGGAGTTCATGATGTGACAGTGGATGCAGACAGGTAATGCTATCAGCATGTACAATGGTGAGAACATAAAGCAATTTCATAAATGAGATCCCAGGAGTTTGACAGTATAAGTCAAAGGACTTTTTATTTCAATATAATAACTATTTTGAAATATTTTAAAAAACTAAACTGGTTTTTCTTACAAGACTTGTTTAGCTCTATTTACTGCATTGGTGAGAATATTTAACAACTTTCAGTTACGTGGCAGCAAATTTTAACATCTGTAAAAGCAAAATGATACACATAGACTTATATTCTTTCCTTGGAAAGAACTCTGGCTAATGTTTGTTTTGGTTTGGATATTGTCAGATTTACCTGGAGGCTAATGATATAAATATAAAGATTAAAACATAATTCAAATTATCAGGTATAATAAACTTGATGCTTTTCTTGAGGGGTTTGTTGAGAGCATACAACTCTTGCTTTAGGCTAATTTTGTTTTGTAATTGTTTCAGATTGTTTAAAGGTATGTGTGTGTATGTGCATGCATGCATGCATATTTGCTTCATATGCTAGATATGATTTTGCTGGAAGTTGTTATGTCAATTTGATCAGAATCACTGCTGTTAGAGAATATTGTTCTTGTAAAATAATATTGTAAGACATCCTTCTCACCTGATTTTGCCCTCTCTTGACTCAAAATTTTGACTTTATTCATCAGGAAGGGGTTGCCATTTCTTAAACTATGATATATCATTACCTAGAGTGGTTCTTTACTAAAGTCAGCATTGAGTAAGAGGACAAATGTTGTGACTCAGTGCATCCACATTCTGAAGTTAAGAACTGTGCACAATTCATTGTGCATTTTAACATAGCCCACTCAAAAGGCTTGAATTCTGATATTAGTCGTCAGTTTCTCCTCACTCAAATGCTGTTGATGTATTGGGGGGGGGATTTGGGGCTCTAAATACTCTTTAAATAGATAATCAACTAGCCCTTCTATTTTTATCTCTACCTTCATACCCATTTACAGAAATACCACCGATTTTTAAATATTTGGGGTCTTCTCCAGGATAAGTAGGCTCTTTCTCAGCTTTTCTTATCATGTGTTCCAGAAGCCATGCTCTCAGATCTAGGGTGATGGTATGTGCCTGGTATCCTGCAGTTCAGAGACCCCTCCATAGGGTTAGGGTTAGGGTTGGGGTTAGGAGTGAGGGGTTAAGGGTTTGGGTATGTGCCTGGTATCCTGTAGTTCAGAGACCTCTCCGGAGAATAAAACCACGGACTTCGACTGAGGTGAGAAGAGACATGGCAGCCATCTTCAGAGCTGAGGCAAGGAGGAGATTTGGGGCTCCAAATGCTCTTCATATAATGCTGTTGATATTTTCACTCCTGTTGGCCAGAGGACAGTTTCCACTAGGACGCTAGGATAGACATGGCTAGTCTGTAGACCAGGTTTGTGTGAGAGAAGCAGGAGGTTACAAAAGGATTATGAAAAACTTTGACTCCCCAATCACCAGCATGAACTCTTCAACCATTTTCCCTTCCTGACTCCTTCAACCAGCCTGGACTCCTTTCTGTTCTTGAATCGATGCTTCCTCCGTCTGGAATGCCCTTTTCTACATTCGCTGCATTATTTCCTCCATCACAACATTCAATTTCAGCTGAATGCTGCCTTCTCAGAGAAATGATTCCAGAGAGGCTAAGATACATTTGATTTGCACTTTCTTACCCGTTACCTTATATTATTTTCTTCAATGTATCCCATCACTCCTGGAATATATCATACTTACTTATTTGTTTACATGTTTATCTTATATCTCCCCCATTATGATGTAAGCCCATGAATGCAGAATTTTGTCATATTCATTATATTTTGAGATTTTAGCAAATGCTTATGGAGTGAATGAACAAAGGAATGAATATAAGCTATATATATTCATATACAGCTAGCAATAGAGTTCAACTGGGTAGAGAGGCAAATGAGGCCAGAGCCAACATTCTGCAAGGATATTATGTAAGAGAGGGAAGGGGTTATGTGGAAAAACAGGAAGCAGTGTTTCAAGGGGAAGAAATCCACAATACGGACTACATTTTGAAACTAAGGACCTACACATTCTTAGCTGACAGTAGAAAATATTAAAGGTGGGGGACATATGTGTCTTTAGGAAATGAGATTGTGGTGGCAGAACCTAGGAATCGATACAAAGGAGCCTTATTTTGGAGGTAGTTGGGATAACCAGCTCTCCTTGCTCCTATAGGGCTCAGCTTGGAGGAACCTCAGACCAACGGGGAAAACCCAGATGTGTGTCTAATAAATTGAGACCTGTGAAAGCAGTGGTTCTTAAAGTGTGGTAACTAAATCAGCAGCATCAATATCGCTTGGGAACTTGATAGAAATGCAGATTAGCTCTATCCAAGATTTACTGAAGGGGAAACTCTGGGGTGGGCCCAGCCGTCTTGGACAGGCCCTCCAGGCAATTCTTATGGATGCTAAAGTTAGCAAATCACTATCTTAAAATTAACAACCAGATGCCAGGTTGATGAAAACATGGACACTTAGCATAAACATTTAAACATTTAAAAAAAGACATTTTAAAGTTTTTATTCACTATTTTAGCTGTGCTCTGTCAAAGGAAAGAATATTAGAATAACACTGGCACTAATCTTTAAATTAAATCAAATTATGACATGTCGTACCTGACATTAATTGTCTCCATTTGTAGATTCAGCTTCTGAGAATTGCATTTTTGAAAGAAGTGTAGAATTTAAGGAATACAAAAGCCACTTTAATCACTTGTATATATTAAACACCAATTAAGGTCATAGGGAAACTCCTGTTCTCAGTAGAGATAGGAGTTTGTCTTTTATTGTATATAAGTCTGAAGCTCTTTTCAATCCTATATTCAGGAAGTGATTTGGGATGTACATAATTTTAAAATGCATAGTATTAAATATAATATTTAATAATATGATATAATTATATGATAATAAATATAATATTTAATACTTGTGTAAGTCCTTCTGTTAATTTAAAAATCTCCTTATACAGGATGTTGTTTCATAAAGCTTTCTTAATTCTGATACCCATTCCAAAGAGGATAGGCAAGAATAGCTCTAAGGAATATGTCTTTGCTTAGTTTTACTCAAAGAAGATACTGAGACGTCCTGTACTTCAAAATAAAAACTGTTAAGATTTAATTCAGTACTCCCTAAAAGCTTTTTTTTAATCACTGATGCCCCCACTTTTTTCTCTGTAATAACTTGTTCCTGTGATATTTTAAGAAATGCTGATTTTGCCTAATGCCTTCACTTAGTGGTTATAGCAGTACAAGGACTTCGGCCCTTTACCTCACGTACTTAACAGTTTCCCGGCTACCTTAGTCAGGGGTCTTTTAAATAAAATGAAAAATGT